TTTAATATAATTTTAAATATTTTTATTAATATGAATCAAGTTTTTAAAACTTAAAAAGGGCTGGGAAAGTAGATCAGTGCAAAGGCCCTGGCTCCAATCCCCAGTGTGCCCCCCTGCCCAAAGTATACTTCCAAAGACATACTTGCTAGCCTCAGGAAAATGTGCTATAAGAACATTCAGTCTTAGGCCCTGGGTTCCAATCCCTAAAACCACCAAATTAGGTCTCACTGGGTCAATCCCATGATTTGGAAATACACTGAAAATCTCCGGGGTAGAGAACTTGCTTACCACGCACAAGGTCATGGGTCTCATCTCCAGCACTGGGAGAAGCAGGAGAAGACACTGAGAAGACTACACTTTCACAGCTACCAAAGTCTCAACTCTCCAACTCATCAGGGAAACAAAAAGCTTAACCTCCTTGCTCTCCAACAGCTGTCCCTGAGCGGTCTACAAGCAGCAGGGAAGGCAGCTCATAGCCTCATATAGCATCCATACCATGAGATGTGGATCATCTAACAAAACAGGGTCCCTGGCTCAGGGATGTTTCCTAAATATAAGCAACATAGAGCTTATATTCCCCTCACGTGTCAGCACGAGGAGAACTAACCCCAGTGCTCATTTCCAGCTTTTCCTGGAGAAGAGCTCAAATTCCAGCTCGAATTCTAGGTCACAATGCAGTCAATGAGCAGTGCCACTGGGATTTCCTAAGCAATTCTATGACCCACATCTTTTGCTAATATAAAGTCAGGTAAGGTAGGGAACGTTGACTCAGCCAACCAATTCTGCCTTTGGACTTAGACCTTCTATTTCATGAAGCATTACTAGCCACCCAGGGCTAGTAAGTTCAAAGCTAGCCCGAACCACATAGTGAGACCCTGTCTCAGAAAGAAAGAAAGGAAGAGAAGAGAAGAGAAGAGAAGAGAAGAGAAGAGAAGAGAAGAGAAGAGAAAAAGAGAGAAAGAATCAATCTGCTGTCCAATGGGGACTGCAGTTTTGTGAAGGAGCAAGAATAGAGATTCAACATTCTACAACTGGTGACATCAAAAAGGTGTCATGGGGCTGGTGAGATGGCTCAGTGGTCTAAAGCACCTACTTAGAACAAGCTTAGCAAAGCACAGGGACTGCTGTTCAATCCCCAGCACCACATGCCAGCCAGCCCCGCCCCCTGGTGGGCTGAGCTGGCCACACACCCACACCCACACCCACACCCACCCACCCACACACACACACACACACATCCATATTTATCTACAAATAAATAGATAAAATTTAAAAAAAAAAAGGTGTCATGTTTTGCCTGCTGGTGAAGGATTCCCCATCTTTATCCTCCGTTCCCATTTCCAGATTTATATATTCCAAACAAAAGTGTAAAAAAGCTGAGTATGGTGGCACACGCCCATAATCCCAGCACTGGGAAAGCTGAGGGAAGACTGCTGCAAGTTTGAGGTGAGCCTATGCTACATAGTTCAAGGTCAGCCTGAACTACATAATGGGACCCTGTCTAAAAAACTTTAAAGAGAGAAAAATCTATATCTGTATCTACATCCATATTATCTATCAATATCTACATAAAATACACACTCAATAAGACACTTCCAAGGGCCAGCCAAATAGCTCAGCGGAGGCCAGGGGTTTGATCCCTGGGCCTGCCATGCCAGCCCCGCCCCTGGATGCGCTGAGATGGCAACTGAGAATGGGCATGGCCGTGGTGGTATGTGCCCATAACCCCAGCTCTTGGGAGGCTGTAAACAAGTGGATCACTACGAGTCTGAGTCCGATTTACAGTGAGACCCTGAACACCCTTTCCTAAAATACAAAAAACAAAAAAAGACACTTCCTCCAAAAGAGATTATGTAGTATCAATATAGCACAATTGTAAGTAATAAGTAATACAAAGTACTGTGTACAGTAAATGGTTTTGGCTAAACTGCCTGTCAAACCCAGAAATAGGCAAGAGCAGCGCCAATACTTCCCGATTTCAAGGTACTAAGGTCGATGTTACATAAGAGGAAAAAATAAAAGCAACGCAGAATGCACTTTCCTATGGATTCCTATGCAAGCCCCTCGGGTCTTATTTCTAAGCTGCATGTTAAAACATACAAGGATGTTCACTGCAGTACCACTGTGCAAGGACAAGTCTGGAAATGAATTGGGATACAACTCTGCAATTCATCATACAGCAGCAAAGAACAGATGATGAGAACAGCTGGGCATGGTGGCCCAGGCCTGTAATCCCCGGGCAGGTGAGGCAGAGAACTGCTGTGGGTTCAAGGGCAGTCTGAACTGCGGAGCAAGACCCTGTCTCAATAATAAATAAACTTTAAAGACAAGAACACAGCTTCACCCCTTCCAGAGACACACAACCGGAATCTCATCCAGAAGTATCTGCTAAACCTAGGTTAGGGGCTGGGGAGATGGCTCAGTGGTCTAAAGCACCTACTTTGAACAAG